TGAGTTTAGGTGATTTATTTCATGCATTCGAAAGAAGGGAAATAAATTCAACAAGGTATAAATCATCGTTTTGTTCATAGAGGATAGAAATATACCGATATGCATTACGTGAATCTCTAAGTGTTTACAAAACTTCATGCATGCTTGTATATTGCATTTGTCATAGAGATATAGTCAAATGGTATACTAGGATAGGTTCAATTCTACTCGAAAGAGATTGTTGGATAGGTTAGAAACATTGATTCTTCAAACGATTCATCGTGTTGTCAAGTTGTGAAATAGGGGTCAAGAGTAAATTTTGCTTGGTGATTCGGGATCCTAGTACGCTTTTCATACATTGATTTCTTAAAACTTTTGCATTCAAACATTACTTTTGCATTTGATTCACAATTTTAGTTTAATTTATAGATTGGTCATAGTTTCATCATAAAGTCACAAAATAATCATATTCAGTTAATAGATTCGGTTAAGGTCGCAATAATAGAATTCAAGTTAAATCAATCCTCGTGGGAACGATACTCGAAATTTTAGGATTTCCACTTTATTACTTGTCAACGAACCGTACACTTGCGGTGGTTTTATTCGAAACATATTTTCGTGAACAACAATCACCTCCAAGATATAACGATCAAATAAACCAATTGTGTAACAATCACAAATGATTTTCAGAACTCTCAAATGTACTCCAAAAAATATGTACAATAGAGTATAATTTTTTTTTTTAATAGGAAGATACAATTTCGTTTTTGTTGTTTGTTTCTAATGCCCGATGTGTATTTATATAGGCAGAAAAATGATGTAACTGCATCCACCATGATCCAGTATTATTTGCAATTTTTATGGCTAGTGGTAATGGGTTGTTAATATTGGACAGTTAATAACGTCATATTTTACTGGTTAGTTGACCCGTTAAATAATTTCAAAAATGATTAAAAATAATAATTTATTATTAAAATCAATTAAACCCAAGAGCCCAATGTCCCAATCAAAGACTTTTAATATAATGCGTGAGGTGTGACTCGAACCCTCCAACCTCCCACACAAATTCCACAATTTTCACCAATTGGGCACTTCATCTGAATTAATTATCTCTTCACATATTATATTTATTGTATAAATATCTAACATGAACTTCTCTTACTTGATTTCCTCTCTATGCTTTCTCTATTTCGTTATGTCAATTCCAAATGAAAAATGTAAGAAGTCTTGTAATTATATATTCAAATAACCATTTGAATTCAAATTCAAAATATTATACTATGAAAGAGACATGACTAGAATGTATAATTGACAACAAGATTAAATCCAATATCTATAATACACATCAACTAGTACAATCCTTTCAAAGTGCTCAAGACAAATACTCATCTGCTAAGTGGATCCACCTCACACTATTTATTTCAAACATTTGAATAAAAAAGTTCCCTTTTCATTTATCATGTATATACAAGAAAGTTAATTCTTGAAACATAAAATAATTGAATAATGTTACTTGTACATAATAGAGTTACATAATGGTACATACAGATGAAATGTCAAAAAAAAGTGAATGATTTTTTTTCTTTTTAGTTGAAGGAATTTTGACTCAATCATTTCTCATCACATCATGTGTATGTAAATCATTATATGCATGTAGCACAACCGAAAATAATTTACTCCTTTCAGGATGAGTTTGTTATATTTTTAATTTTTTAATAAAAAATTATAATAGGTTATGCCCTCCAACGGCCATTTAAAAAATTACCTTAAAATCTAGAAAGTGTATCATTTTTAGATCACAATTCTTATTTTTTTTCATTTAACTATTTTATTATAATAAAATAGAGAATTGAGGATATCAATTGAATGGATACATGAAATAGTTATCATATGTTTATATTTAACCCCCAATAAAATTTCTACTCCAATTTTGTGACTTGTCACGTGTATAAACAAATTTAAGCACTCAAACGAGATTCAACTAGCTAGAAATTTGAAAGGTTGAGGACGTCTCAAGCAAGAAAGAGAACAATCGGGAGACTCCAGTGTTCTTTCCCTCCTATCTTTTGTTACGAGTAAAAGAAATTTATCGTCTAGGTTAAAAGAGTCGTCAAAGCAAGGCTCTTTGTACCCAGGAACAATCTACATTGTTAGTATTCATCTTCCAAAACACGAGAAGAGGGAAAAACAATATGGGACAAAATTAGTTTTAAAAAAACAGTAGGTGCCTGCTTGATACATAGTGTCAGAAAATGAACACAAATTTAACTCCTTTTTCTTCTTTAATCCGCTACTGTGCATTTCAACCCATCATACTGAACATGGGGAAAGAGATGCCGAATACATTCAAAGGATAATTATAGTAAGCAAATGAACATTTGAAGTGTGACTCCTTTGTTAAAATAGCTCTCAAAAACTAGGAAATTGTACGCCTGATGTATGACCTTTGTGTGTGAAAAAAAAATGTGGGGGAAACAAGACACGTTGCTATTCCTTCTATATGTTGACGAAGAGAGGGGGACGGGGAAGTGGAGGGATTTATAAAAGGAATCGACTGTTATCGCTACCACTAAATGGCGAGGGAAGGTGGGTACCATCTACGAAGAACACGTTCCCAATAACTCAGATCATATAGAATTCGAGATGCGCCAGTATGGAATACTCCAAATGCTGCCTCGGCAAATTAACCTCAACGAAAATATACTCATCTATCGTGCTTATGCTTCGACTTGATGGCAGGACCAAGAATATGAACTTCAAAACATTGGTTGATATCTGTACAACTATTTTAGTCATCAGGATCCATTTCCTCGTCCAGCTCCACAGAAGGGATTGTGTCAGCTTCACCACTGCCATCAGATTCCTCCTGTCCCGAATCAATCTCATCTTCTTGTGTTTCAGTCTCTTCATCAGTGCTCTCTTGGGTTCCACCTGTTTTTGTAGCTTGTACCATCCAATTGGGGCACTCATCCTGTCCTCCAAACGGAACATGGAGATTACTGTTCATGCCCGGATGTAGATTCTCAGAAGTCTTAACAGTTGTACACGAGCATTCTGGGATCGGGTGGGAAAGGAATGGCTTTGGTCTTAATAGTTGAGATTCCTGCATAATGCCATCTTCCATCGTGCTTCGATTGAGGTGATCTCGTACAGAGAGTAGAATTGCACAGGGGATGGTACAGATGATTGGGGCGAAGTCAAGAATGTGTTATACGGGGGACAAAAAATTTTAAAATTGAATGTACGAATAAAATTTATATATTACTAGAAAATTGTAATATAACATTACATATTAAAATTGTACCAGACGATGTTTTATAGCATAAAATTCATCTATAACAGAATCTAGATCTAAATTAATACTAAATTCTCGTTCAATGTTTAGTGTTAAACAATCAGCAAGAAAATCATCATCCATTCTGTTACGAATTTNGAAAAATTTTCAGGATAAAACCTCTGTGCAAGCTTGCAGATATTATCCATGTCAAATGATTCAAAAGAATTTGTTTGATCCAAATCCGTATTGAGAGAAAGGAGTTCTAATGATGTCTCATTAAATCTTATATCGAACTCCATCATCTGACAATCTATGGCTGTATTGAAAATATCAAAGTGATAATGATGTTCAATTGTAGGATACTCACGACCAGGAGAACGACCAACCATATAAGAACCATCAAAGTCCGGTATATGTATATCATTTTTTGAGCAAAAAAGTTTCACCTCTTCAAAAAATTCTTCCCAACCATCTTCTCTCAATGCTTGAAGGATACTTTTTGTAGTTTGGACAAATCTCATAGCAGTTAAGATGTCTTGAGTTTTCTTCTGAAGGGCTTGACAAAGTACATCTTTAATTGCCAACATTCTTCGCATTAAATGCAAGATAAATACAAATGCAAATGTTGTCATTGTTTTGTATATACCATCAACTTCGAACCGAGTTCTTGTATTTGGAGAATGATCGCTAAGATACTCAAACACTTTGCAGGTTGCAACATACATATCAATCAAGCTTTTTACAGAGTTGTAATGAGAAGACCAACGAGTACCTCCGGCTCGTTGCAAATTACCAATCTGATTAGCCCCACTTCCCTACTCTCGTTCTCAAATTTCCAACAAATGCTCAATTTCTTTTCTTTGGACACTTTTCAACTCATTGATACGCTTAGGAAATGATGTAATCATATTAATAACACTGTCCAAATAAGAAAAAAATGAATTAATATCTGAGACATCTCTCTAGCTGCAGAAGCCAATGTGAGTTGTAAACGGTGGGCAAAACAATGGACATAGTATGCATATGGACAACCATTATGATACGATGACGATGTTGTATCAACATGATTGCATTACCTTGTCAATATGTTGAGTTGGTTTCATTAGATCTTCAGCTCTTCTCTTACAACTATTATGATACGATGACGATGCTGTACCAACATGAATAAGGAATGCACATTTACTTCCTTGGTTAACCCTCTTCCAATTGTCAAATCCAATTGTAACCAACGATGAAATAATAGATTGAGCACTATCATTGAGAAAAAGGAAGCAATAAAAATAATATGCTTTATCTGTTGAAGGTGAATATTCCAACCAAGGAAACTGATTGTACCAATGCTCCTGAAATCGACTTTTTGCTTTCCACATTCTTTACTCTGATAGTCCAAAAGTTTTGGTTGATAATGTCCAGCATTTAGATAGGCTCGTCTAATCTGATCGCGTTCATTTAATGGATGTTCACATATTTGCTTTCTTTTTCCTAGGTCTCATTCAATAGAATCAAGTGGTTCCACATTAAGATTAGAAGATGAAGATCGTTCAACTTTAGGGGATGAAATTGGATTTGGAGTGGATGTCGTAGGAATTGGAGTACCCTGATGTTTGTTACTCTTTGAAAAGAAAGATAACAAAATTCTTCCTTTCTTAAAAGAAGGTCGATCTTCCTCCATATTAAACGTACGAGCATAAATATCAAAAAAAAAACTTCAATATCCTATAAATTCCTATATAAATTGCTATTGGCTAAATTTCCAAACTAACATTTCCTAAAAAAATGCCTAAATCCTAAAGCACAACTGCAAATTACATAGCATATTATCATTTTAACAACTTAGCAATAGCAACTAGCAAGTTTAATTTTTATCAAACAACTTCTCCAGTTTAGCAACTGGCAGCCCTTCAATTTCAAATCATTTAATGGAGCATAAATTGTCTAATGTTGCACTGCACACACAAGTGAAGGCCGCAAACATACCTCACTGCAGGCCGTAAATGAAGGTTGAAAGGGTAATTCTGGTGAAGCCTGAAGCACAACTGCGGTCTACACTACACACACAAGGGCCAAATCGACCCTAAAAGTTTGAAACAATTACAAAACAACAGTTACAATTTACAACTTACAAGACATTACAACATTGAAACTGAAACAAGATATTCATCACAAAACACAAGAAATTAAACAACTGGAGTCTAGAGAAGACTTGTACATATTCAAAATTATCAGTCAGGTTGTAGCTAAAAAATGAATTTCCAAGCTCTCAAGTATTTTTCCACTAAATTTCCCAGTACAAAAACAGAGGTTACAGAGCTCCATTTCAGCTTCATAATTCCAATTATTCCGCCATACATCCGGATTGCAGAAAAAGCACACCTTCTACTTTCTAGTAAATCCAGGGTCCAACAATAATACAAATAGATATGAAGTTCAGAATCTTAATTGCAGACAGAAAAAATCCATAACAAAATAAAAAAAATAGAAGTTAAAATGTCTAAAAGGTAAATTGAACTTACCGAATTAAATTGAACTATGAGAAAGCCTTTCTCACAGACGGCATTCGGCGGACGGTGGACGAAGGGTTTCGTCGTTTTGGGTTTGAGAGAGTCAGGGAGAGAAAGAGCAAAGAGGGACGAAGGGTTGCGGCTTTCACTGTTTGAGAGAAAGAGCAGAGAAGGATGAAGGGTGTGAGAGAGAGAAGAGATGGTTTCGCCTTTTGGGTCAATGGTTGGGAATTAGGTTTAATATTAGGTGGGTTGCAAATTGGGCTTTCAATTTTTCAAATGGACTAAGACAGTGGGCTACTGGGTTGGACTTGGACAGTGGGCTATTGGGTTGGAAAGTGGAAACAATTAGACTTTAACCTTTTTTTTTACAGAGGCTGGGCTTGAGCAAGGGTGGGCTGTATCTCCGCCCATGGCGGTGCTATTTAAGAGATCGACAAGATAGTTCCTGCTTAGATGATCACACAGGAAAAAATCAAAAGATAAGAAGATGAAAGTTTTTAAAGTAAAATAAGAAAGAAATTCATCATTCTCAACAGATTCGGGGTTGACTATACGATTATTTGCACACGTCCATCAGATCTAGCTCTAAATCTACTAAAAGCTGCAATAAATTCAAATCTTTTCAGTTTCCACCATCTCAAGCTATGATTATTTTGTTTGTACCTCAATCTCTTCAAACATGTTCTACTCAAATAGGAAAGGAACTTTTCTGGGTCTATATAATAAATGTCGGACTAGTGCTGTAATTTTATTTTTTTCCTCAAATGCATCCACGTTACCAAATATCTATCTTGACATGTTCACGCCTTGTGCATTCATCTTAATGCTCGGCAAGCAGAAACATAATCATTCTGTTGGAGAAAATAATATTCTGTCATATGGATTGTTCATGTTGGATCATCAAGAACTTATTAACTAAAAGCGGAAGCGTACTTGAATCAGACATGATTATTACAATGAACAAGTCCTGCGGTTTTAGTCTTCCAGAT